TGGAAGGATGGAAGGATGGAAGGCTGAGTCAACCCTGAGCCGGTGAGATTTGAACCGCTGACCTGCTGATCTAGCAGTAGCCTGCAGTGCTGCATTTAACCACTGCGCCACCTTGGCTCTGCTTGGCTGGACTAGACCTCCAAGGTCCCTTCCAGCTCTATTATTCTGTTATTTTGAATTCAAGGGAAGCAGAAGTTGTGGGTGCTTCATTACTGGAGGTTTTGAAGATGAGATTGGACAGTCACTGGTCTGAAATGGTATAGGATCTCCTGCTTGAGCAGGGGGCTGGACTAGGAGACCTCCAAGGTCCCTTCCAACTCTGTTCTTCTGTTAATTTCACCCAGTTCTTTAGAAACAGAGGAGCCACATTGTTTTCCACTGCCAGAGGAGTAGAGAAAATTTAAGGGCCATGGGTTAACGATCTGGGAATGGGTAAAGCCTTCACTTCCCCATAGAGGAGGGTTTTGATTGTCATCTGCATGTGTCAATCAGACAATTGGTAGCTAACCCAACATCATCTTCTGTACCTCCGCTGCAGAGTTGAGTTTCAGCACCCTGGACAGCCCCTCCCACTGCAGCCTGTTGACCAACCAGGAGATTTGCCCCATCCCCAGTCACTGCGTCTGGGCGGACAAGAACGGACAACATATCCTGGGCTTGATTGAGGATTACAACTGTCTCCGGAAGCAGATCACCGAAGGGCGGAAGCGGCTGTCTAAGCTGGAGCTTCCTCTGAGAGAGGAAGGAGACCCGGAATTGGCGGTGACAGTAAGTGGCGTAGTGGAGAAACTGGATGGGTGGGAATATTATGGAACCTACAGACTCCTAAAGAGTTGAGGATGGAGTGTTTTTTTAAAAAAAGTTTTTATTTTAGAGAGATTTTAGAGAGATTTATTAATATTTGTAGGCCGCCCTTTTCCCTGAGGGGACTCAGGGCGGCTCACATAAATCAGGGAGGGGGAATACAGACATTGACATAGANCCCCCCCCAACCCCCAGGAGCACTCTATAAGCTTCCTAAAGGCTATTCATGCCTTTTTTGGGCGGCGGGGGGGGGGGAGAACGGGCCCCCTTTTGCGAAAAACAGGCCTTTTTTTGGAGGTTTGCAGAGTGCAAAAACTTTTTTTTATTTGCCCCTTCAAAACCTTAGTGCATCTTATACTACAGTGCCTCTTATACTCTGGTGCATCTTATACTCCGAAAAATGCGGTGTTTTCTGGTTAGGTCTTATTTTGGGGAAAATAAATGGCACTCAATGCATCCATCTGCCTGACAATCCTAACTGGGGCTTATTTTTGGGGGGTGTAGGGCTTATATTACAAGCATCTTGAAAAATCATGCTAGGGTTTATTTTCCAGCTAGGTCTTATTTTTGGGGAAACAGGGTATGTATATATGTATTTGCATTCCTGTACTAACCACAACACTGATGACCCATCTCTCTCTCTGTGGTTGTGCCTGGGGCAGCTCCCCTCTAAAACACTCCATTTTGCTTTGTAAAACAGCCTGGCCATTGTCATCTTGCAAAAAAAATAGCCTCATGCCAGCATCCTTTCTCTGCCAAACTGATCGACCGGCGTCTGTTGAAGCAGCTGAATCCTCGGTCAGGAGGAGAGATTAACGCCAGCCAGCCCTAACATCCCCCCCCTTAAAAAAACCACACACAAACACGCCCAAACCACCCAAACCTGTGGCAATTTTACTGGGATGTTGAAAATGACAGCCAAGCTGTATGTTTTTACAATCTCTGGCTGGTAGCCCAGGCTTAAGCTGAACAGTCTCGTTCCCCCCCGCTACCATTATCAGCAAAGGATAATCAGCAGCTTGGCTGATATTAACCCAGGTTCCAAAGTCTGTTTAGGATGACTTCCTGCAAGTCCAGCTGGATTCCATTTTGCCCTGTACCCAGGATAACCTTCAGAATCAATCTATCTATCTATCTATCTATCTATCTATCTATCTATCTATCTATCTATCTATCTATCTATCTATCTATCTATCTATCTATCATCTA